TTCTAGGCCCTTTCAGCTGACTGAGTAAGGAGATATATTTGTGTATACTAACCTGTGTGTATACACATATTCAGAATTATTTCTCTATGTAACTATCTATATTTATATGAAGCTACCAGCTGATAGGTACTGCTTTAATTTTCAATTTTCTAATGACAAATGGTGTTAAGCATCTTTGCATGTGCATATGAAATTGTTTAAATTTTTGCCCATTTTTAAATTGTCTTGTTCTAATAAAGAGTTTTACATACTTTTGGACTATTATCCATAGGTAAAAAATTATATTTTATATTACTCATGTGCACACACATTGGTGTGCAGTGTGTATATGTGCATTAAAATAATGTTAGAATTTTGCTGAACAATACTCACATTTACTCCCTGGGATATGCTCTGATATTTTTTATTACTTTGTTTTTTAAATACAGTTGTATCTCACAGTCTAACAGAGCACTCTCATACAGTGTCCCACAACTCATAGCACCTCACATCATGCTAATACTACTCCCTCATCCCCTTAAATACCTGACTACTCCCTCCACCCTGTGCACATACAGCTAACTTCTCAGGTGATCTTTTCTCCTTGTGCCATCTGAGCATAGATGAGGAAGGCCTCAGCATTGTGAAACTGAGTCATCACTGGGTAAGGCTTCTTTAAACTCCAGCCTAGGCTGGAGGGCACCTGGCTGCCCCAGACTTAGTACTTCATTTGAGTTGTCTTGGGGTTGGGAGCAGGGCTTCTGAGTGTAGGAGTTTGGAACTACTAGTCCCACCACCCAAGCCTGCTTTTCCCCAGTCCCTGATGAATAGGCAGCCTGCCCAGGGGGATGCTTAGTAAGAGTACCTGCCTTCCTATCTCCTCTCTTGTGGGCCTGTGGGCTCACCTCCCTGAGCCAATTATGGCTCTTGGCCAGAGTTCAGAGTGTCACTCCATACCCCTGTTCCTCCCACCTTTGCAGTTTGCAGAGCAGTCCCTGATGAAGAGTGCCATAAAAACATCAGAGGAGTCATGGATTGAACAGCAAATGTTGGAAGACAAAAAGCGGGCCACAGACTGGGAGGCCACAAATGAGGCTATTGAAGAGCAGGTGGCTCGAGAATCCTACCTGCAATGGCTGCGGGATCAGGAAAAACAGGCCCGCCAGGTCCGCGGCCCCAACCAGGTGGGTCTTGTGCTCTGTCACTGGTCTGGCCAAGAACCCATTATTTCCCCTGCTCCGCCCCAAATAGGCAGAAAAAATTAAGCAGTTTTGACATTTGGAAGAGAAGGAAGCTTCCAACCCTGTCTGAACCTCATCTTGGCCTTAGTTTTGGCATTGTGCCTTAGAACTCTCAACGCCTGTGTAGAACAAGCTCTTAAGGAGTAAGAGAGAGAGAACAGTCACTGGTGGTGCCATGAAGGATTGATGGATAGTTTCAGAGGGACAAGCTTTTGTTGAATGTCCTTGTATGCCAAGCTCTGCTGAGAATGTAAAATCAGGTTTAGCCCACTCCACCCTCAGTGGTCCCCTGTCTATTGAGGGAGACAGATGCATCAGAGGGGTCCTTGACCCTGGCTGGGAGACCAGTGGATATAGGGGCTCTAGTTAGTCTTTACACAGGAACGTTAGGGCAGGGAGAGGGCAAGATATACAGACATTTGAGGAATCATGAGTTTAGAGTGATTGTAGATGTTGGCAAGAGCTGAGTAAATTGTTCAACAAATATTTATTTAGGTCTATGCCCCGTACTCTTCTAGGTATACAGAGGTGCATTGGTGAGCCAGGCAGGCCCAGATCCCTGTCCTTGTGATGCTTACGTTTTTGCAGAGTGGAACAAAATAAACAGTAAATGTAATGACTAAATTAGTTGAGAGGTGTTATGGATGAAAAAACATAAAGAACAGGGTAAAGGGAATAAGTAGGGCTGAGTGGCGCTGGAAGTTCACAGTATTAAATAGTGTGGACACAGTGGGCCTCAGAACAGGTGAGATTTGAGCAAAAACTTGCCATAGGTGAGGGAGTTAGCTAAGTGCATGTGCCGGGATAGGCAGAGGACCAGCTAGAGCAGAGGCTCTGAGGTAGCACACCCCTGTTGGGATTCAGGAGTTGCCAGAAGCCAGTGTGGCTGAAAAGACGTCAGAGGTAGTGGGGCCAGATTGGGAAGGGACCTGTGGGCCGTGGTGAGGACTTTGGCTTTTATTCTGAGTGAAGCAGACTCTGTGGAGGGTTGTGAGCAGAGGAGGGACAGGATCTGACTTAGGATTTGACAGGAACCCCCTGACTGCTGGGTATAGAATGGAGTCTGGGTGGCAAGGGTAGAACAGGGGACCAGCAAGGAGAAGGCTGCTATAGTAGTTCAGGTGGCTGCTGATGGCTCAGGCAAGGGGGAGGGGAAAGTTGGGGTAGGGGCACTCTGGATCTATTTTGAAGGTGGAGGTAACAGGTTTCTTGTCCGTTTGGCCATGAGGGTGTGAAGAGGGTTAAGGGGCTTACTTTCGTCCTTTGGTCCATTGTGTGACGGAGTAATGGCGGTCTATGTAGAAGCTGTGTCAGCCAGGATTCCCAGAGGAAGTGAGCCCTCAGGGATGGGGCAGAGGAGGGTTGAGACTGTTATAGGTTCTTACCTCTTACTCCTTCCCCACCGCAGCCCCGGAAAGCCAGCGCCACATGCACTTCTGCCACAGCAGCTGCCTCCAGTGGCCTGGAGGAGTGGACTAGCCGGTCCCCACGGCAGCGGTCACCCGAGCACCCTGAGCTGCATGCTGAGCTGGGCATCAAGCCCCCTTCCCCAGGCACTGTATTAGCTCTTGCCAAACCTCCTTCACCCTGTGCACCAGGTCAGTGACTTGCTGACAGGGAACATGCAGGGCTTAGGAGGTGCTGCCTAAGTCCCGGACCCTGCCTCTGACTGTCCATCTGCCCCAGGTACAAGCAGCCAGTTCTCAGCAGGGGCTGACCCGGCGACTTCCCCCCTTGTGTCCCTCTACCCTGCTCTGGAGTGCCGGGCCCTCATTCAGCAGATGTCCCCCTCTGCCTTTGGTAAGCCTCCTCTGTCTAGGAGCCAGGGGCCAGCCGGGAGCTGGGGAGAGCTGGAAGAAGCAGTAAGTCCTGAGGGGGTTCTCTGGAGCCTCTGGCCATCTCCCCAGGAAAAGGGAATCGTTTAGGCCCAAGGGATCTGTCCCAGGGAGGTTCTGAGCAGGGTTTCATAGGCTCAGAGGAGCCTTCTTATAAATAGGAGTTAAAGGGGCCTGGATGGGATCGTTCCAGAGCCAGGGATCAGTGAAGGGTGAAAAGGCAGGCTCCATCATCCTTTTTACCTTCTTGCCCAGCAGGTCTGAATGACTGGGATGACGATGAGATCCTAGCATCGGTGCTGGCAGTGTCCCAACAAGAATACCTAGACAGTATGAAGAAAAACAAAGTGCACAGAGATCCACCCCCAGACAAGAGTTGATGGAGACCCAGAGACTGGAGACCATCTCCCAACCCCCATCACTCCTGCCCTCCGGTGCCACCTCACCTTTGGCTTTCTTCCTTCTTGCCGTCTTCCTCCTTCCCTTTCTCTTCTCCTTTTCCTCCTCCCCACTTCCCTCTTGCGGGCCCACCCCTGCACCCCTCTCATCGCTGCCACCACCACCATCACCTGTCTCTTCGCCAGCTGACGTGCCCTGTTGCCCCCTGCACAGCACCATCCCTGCATTCCACAGGGGACTCGGGCAAGGGTGCCGAAGGTAGGCGAGAGGCACACAGAGACAAACCAACTGGCAGCCAGGCAGCCCCCGAGGAGAGACATTCAGACAGAGGAAAGCCTCCCTGACCCCTATTCCTTCCAAGTTCAGCAAACCTTGTCACCCCACCTCCACAACTATGCCAGGGAAGTGGGAGGAAGAAGTGGGAAATTCCCCTTCCCAGTACCCTAAGAATGTCTGAGCCTTCAATGTTGAATTTTTTCTTTATTAAAATGTACTTTTATCTTATAAAATTAACCAATCAAAAACCACATAGACAACAGCATTGACTCTATGAAGGTGGCATCTCTCTGGTTTGGGGGTAGGCAGGCCATGGGGCACAGAAGGGGCACAAAGATATGGTTGCTGTCTCTGGTCTCCAGCCCTATGGAGATGGGCAGGGTCTAGAATATGAACCAGGGCGGAGTAGGGGAGCACGGGTGGCAGGTGTCATGTGGGCTTTGGACAATGAGACTCCGACCTGACTGCATTCCTACTGCTTCCACCACCACCAGTCTCTTTGGAATCTTGAGGTGGGGGCACCTTTGAGCATTATAGCCGCCGCTCAGGATTTGAATGTGGGGAGTGGGAGCAGCCTTGGCAGATGGGGCACTTGTGCCCTGCAGGTGTTGACAAGATCTGCCATCTGTAATGTCCTTGGCACAATAAAACCAAATGTCAGTTTCCCCGGAGCGCCTCTGTTCTGTGTCGGGCAGAGTGTATGTGTGTGCGGGCAGGGGGGGTGTGTCTGGGCAAAGGCAGTGAGGCTACAGGCCTTGGCTTGACCTCTAAGGGCTGCATGCTCTCCAGTAGGGTCTCTGGGGCCCAGAGTCTGTTCATATTTGGTTCACTGCTTACTAATACACCTCTAGACCTGTTACCACCAAGAAAGCCCTATCTTTACCTGCTTTCCCTGCCTCGGTGCTGGCACAGGATGTATCCTGCCCACCTTATTTCCTGGGGTGTGATGGGAGCAGAGGACTGAGCTTGAGGGCAAAGACTGAATTTCCAACTTCTCTGCCTGCCTCTTTCACCATGTTTGTTCTTGTGATTGTTTGATGAGGAAATGCTTTGGAAAGGTACAGTAGACGCTTCGTAATACCATGAGTTCAGTGGAAGTGACCAGATGGACCTCCTCCACTGGGTTTCAGAAGCTGAAGAATGGCTAAACCCTTTTTTGTTTTTCATGTCCCCCAGTTCTCTGACACTTCTGTGTCCCGACCTTCCTTGAGGTAAAGGCAAGGCAGAAAAGGATGGCTGGCCCAGTGTCTTTTTTTGCTGTGCCTCAATAATGGGGCCCCTGTGGAAGGATGCTTGTCCAGCTATAAAGGTGAGGGCGTGGCTGGCTGAGTGGCTGTCCAAAGGATGTCTGGAATCTACTGGTCAAGCATGTGTATTTTGGAGAATTGGTTTGAAACCTTTCTTGGCTTTTTCTTGCCATGTGGCCCTGGTCAAATCACAGGCTCAAGTTTCAGGTGGCCTATGTGTACGACAGGGATGATGAATGTCTACTACCTCACATTCTCTCTGTGAGCATTGAGAGAGAATGCATATGGTCAACATAATGAATGGCACAGTGCCTGGCACATTCCAAAAGTTCAAATGTTAGTAGATATTTATTCTGTTGAAATTTATATACCATTTGCCCCTGCCTACTTGTTGCCTCCAATTACCTTGGCCTCTGCTTAGAATTGGCCCTTCCCCTGTCCTGAGCCCACAGCCTTGTCTTTCAAGATGTACAGAGGATTGCCTTCTGAGAAGCCTGTCCACATTCTCCCACTTATCAATAAATGTCTTTACTCCTTCCCCAATAACTGTACTATCAATTTCCTGGGCAAGGGCTATGATGCCTGACTTATCTAGATATCTCTAGTATCTGCACTCCCACCAGGGCATGGTTGGCTTACATTAGACCCCTAATAAAGTCAGGTGAATGAGTACATGTGTGTATTTGCTTTTTGGGTGTTGTCTGTGTGTATGGTACTGTAGTGAGTCCAAGTCTTTATATGCATCTCACAGAGTGTTTCTAGTGTGTGTGTGATGAGGGCTTGTTTCCAGGTGTGTCAGATGGTGACAGTTTGTGCCTGTTTCTGAAATGAGTGCATGTTTGTGTGGGTCTGTGATAGCACATCTGTGGTTTCTTCCTGATGGGGTGGATGTCCATTTGTGTTTCTGTGACAGATTCTGGGTACCTATTTCTGAACAGTGTCAGTGACAGTGCTGCATGCCTACAGGTGTATGCATGTCTCTGACTTGGTCTATCCACATCTGTTTTTGTGACACTGCCTATGTGGCTCTATCACACATATATGTCTGCCTTTGTAGCAATGCATGGATGTCTCAAGCATCTGTGTGGCTTCCTGTGACATACTCTGGGACTCTCATTTCTGGGACAGTACAAGTCTTTATGTGACAGTGCACATTTGATGGTGCCAGTGTCTTCGTGACAAGTTCTAGCAGTGTGTCTGATGGACATTTCTGTGTCATTGTCACATGGTAATGTAGGTCTATGTGAATCTTTCTGGAGTGCCTGTCTTTCTATGACTGTATCTCTGTGTCATTCTGGGACATGACTCTGGAAGCATGCCTGCCTGACAGTAAATGTCACTCTTTGTTACAGTGCATGTCTGTGTATGTGTCTAGGACAAGTTTACATGAATGTGATGGTACGTATCATGTCTCACATGGTAATTCTGTGTGTGTGTCTTTGGAGTGCGTACCTGTCTTCCTGTGGCATGAGGCCTATTTTTCTCAAATTTGTGACGGGGTACTTTACCACCTCTTCGAGTTCTCAGCCCCTGTCTCCCACCTGGAAGCACACCCGGAGGCCGGCACCACTCTGGCTTGCTCCCACTCCTCAAGAACCACCCCCTCGCCCCACCCTTCCAGATTCTAAACCTGCTGACTGGGCTCACGGCCACATCTATCCACATTGGTCTAGGTTAAGGGCTTCAAAAACACCCCCATAGGCTACCCTTTCGAGGATGCTACCTTTGACCAGCATGCCCCCCCTCGTGGTGGTAGTCACCGGGTTACTCCTCCCTAGCAGCTGAATAGGATCTTCCAGGATCCCTAGCTTCAGTTTCAGGGCAGAAGCCATGGGTCGCCTAGAGGGCCCCTTTCCTTGGTGAGGAGCACCCGTCAGAGACTGGGTTCTGGATAGCCACAGGCCCAGATTCTTAGAAGATGGGTCTGGCATTATCACCGCGCTAACTCGAGACAGCAGCAAACCAACTCCCCTAGGAAAGGAGGGGGTGCAGGGGTATTTTTTGAAGTTTATATCTATATATACACATACGCACATATATAAAAACAACCCCGAGCAACAACCAAAACAAATGCAGTTGCTGCAAAGGGATTCCCAGAACCGGTTTCCTCTTCGCGCGCGCCCCTCATTTGCATACAGGCCCCGCCCCCACGGAAGATCCGGGCGCGTATTTGCATAAGGGGGTACTTGAAACCTTGAGGGTGGTATGCAAATAAGGGCTGACTCCGATTGGCTGGGGTACAGCAGGTGCCGTGTCCGGATTGATCAAAGCCAAGTGGGCGGGGCTGTCGCCCTGAGCGACTCTCTCGGGAGGCGCGTGCCCCGGCTCAGTAGCGTTGGGGCTGGCGAGCGCGGAGAATCATAGCATTGCGCCGTTTGTGGGCGCTTCTGGGCCACCAGCTTCCCTGCCTTCCACCCTGGCGCCCCCAAGTCCTGGCTCCCCATCCTCGCTGCCCCGGGCGTCGTCGCCCTGCGGGCTCAGCGGGCTCAAT